TGATATTAACATGTTTTGTATTTGTTATCTTATTCACTTTTAATACTTTGCTTATTAAATGTTTAATCTAGATTTATATTATATAACCCTTAGTACAACCAATACTTGGCATTTTCATAACTCAACCGTATGGTATAACCAACATCTGTATTATGAAAAGAATTCGATTTGTTGTTAATATAAGTTAACATCATGAATACTTGACAATATTTACAAGTATTAACATTATTCAAACAAGATAACTAATGTAATCATGTTAACAATTTATAATATGATTGGAACCTCCTTTGTGTATGGTTTCAGTTGAATAATAAAAGAAGTTTATATTATACTTATTTAAAATACCAATAGTAGATCCTCTAATATTGACAATTATTTAATCCTTCTATCATTATCGCATCTCAAAAATTCTCTTCAACTTCTTTTTATTTATTGTTTATAATTTGAAATAGTTTACTTTTATGTTATTCGACCCCAGTTTTACCGGGTTATTTATTATTTCGACACTTCTGCACTTGAAAGAAAACATCAATCTTTTGGTCATATAAGTTATATTGAAAATATCATAAAATTTGTTAAAATTAAAAAAAAGCCAATAAAAAATGAAATTGCAAGTAAAATAAAAGAAGCATGTACTAGGTGACCTACCGGTCTTTGATATTAGTGCTGTGGAATCCAAAAACTATATCACACTTCGGATTCTATTCCAAAGGTTATAACATCTTTTCATGCTTTTGTGTTTAGATATAGTGTTTTTAGCCTTATAACTCCTTTAACTTATTGTTATTGATATTGTTATTCTCATTTGTTCTTGAATAAACATATCTAAATGCAAGCTTGTTCTTCTTTTTTAACCTAATCAACATGCAAATTATACTTGAAGTTTTTTTCCTGCTCATCTTGAAAATTGAAAATTGAAAGATGAGACCTTGTCTCTCCCACCAATGAACAAAGTTACGAGGACTCCTATAATTTGTTTATTAAATTAATTAATCAAGTACTAAACTAAATGGCCTTGTCATCAAGATTATAGTTTTCAATCAAGGAACTAATTTAGAAAAGATTAATTTTAGATTATTAGGTTAATAAATTAATTCACAGGTCACAATTAACTCAGGATCAATAATATATTACATTAAAAATAATTTAGCATGCTGATTTTGCTCTCAATTTCAACATAGTTTTCAATTAAAAAAATAAAAGATTGTGCGTCTCTTTCTCTCTCTATATATGTATATTTAAATTAAAAATAATTTAAATATTTAAAATACAAACTAAATCAAAATCTCAAATAACCAAATGAAAATAATCACAATCCATAATTGAAAATAAAAACACAAGATTTTTTTATTTTTTAATAACAAAATTTGGTCAAATAAATATATTAAGTACTTGGGTATCAAATTCTTTCTTTTTTTTAAAATTAACTTATACTCGCAAGGTCATTGTGATTATTAAAAACCCTGCTTTATTAATTGAAAACTTTTTTTTAATTAGCACTTTTAAAAAAATATTAGTCAAATAATATGATTTAAAAAAATTAATAAGATAACACAATTTATACATGTCCTAATTAAAAAATATATACATGTCATAATTAAAAAATATAATTTAAGTTTGTTGATATTTATAATCATGAAAATAAAAATAAAAATAAGAAATGGGTTGCAAGTGAAGACAAAGTATGAAGAAAGAAATTTTAATAAAAAAACTTTGAAGAATATCAAAACTCGAATTATGACATCACCAAAACCATAAAAAAAATCTAGATGAAACAAGTTCAATGACACCAAAAAAATATCACCAACAATGATCTGAGTGTGTCATACTTAATGTACAAAGATGATGGGTGGCTCACTTGCTTTAAGTGGTAAGGACGACCCACTTAGGACACCATCGGTGACTTTTCTTGGTATCATTAGATATATCATGTCAAAACATTTCTAGTGGTGCAAGAGTATTATAATCGGAGTTTTGATGTGTCTCTATGATCTTTCTTCTTCTTCTTCTTCTTTTTTTCTCTCTTTCATTTCTTTCTTTTTCTTTTTCTTTTCTCTTTCTTTTTCTCTTTCATTTCTTCCCATTATAATTTGTAAAGAGAGATGAGAGAAAAAAACAATAAAAAAATTAAAGGCATACAAAAACTTTGATACATCACCACTAATACCTTAAAAAAGATTGAGACAAATTTAATGATACCAAGAAAAGTTATCAACAATAACCTAAAATGACAGTACTTGCAGCCATAGATAAAAAAGCCACCCATAACTTTTGAGCGACTAGTACGACACATTCTCGTTATCATATATAATATTTTCTAGTATTGTTTGATTTATCTCATCAATGTATTTTTAGAGTTTTTTTTTTTTTCATATCTTTTCATATGCAATCCATTTCAAATTTTTTTAAAAAAACATCATGACTTTGAAAAATAACATGCTGGTTGTTGTTGGGTTGTTCAATAATGATAATAATGATATGTATAAAATATGTTAATTAACTAATTTTTTTTAAGGTGTTATTAAAAGATAGTGCTAATAAAAAAATTATATATAAAAAAAAAGGATAAAAATCGTAGCCAATTTCAGCTAACAGAGTGTGGGTCCTGGGTTGTATCTATGCGTGGATAATTAATAAAAATAAATGAATGGAACTCACCGTACGCGTGCCTATGCAGGCAGCAATCAACTGCAGATTAGATAGCTTAAGAATTGGAGTTTACGGTGAACGAACGGCTAAGGCAAACCGTAACGGACTCAAATTGGGACTGCCAGTCACAATCATCGTTTGAACCACCAAAACAAAAGTATAAAGCGAGTGCCGGCGAGAAATAATTCCTTTTTCCCATTTGCAAAGGTTAATTGTAACAAGACTGCGACAAGGCAAGCAAATTTTCTATGCTGACCTTTGTTTCAACAAGGTTGAGTAAATGGAATAATTTTAAAAGGCGTAAACTAATTAAGGAGCTAGGATGAATCCATTGTTTCATTCTAAATGTTCTTTTGTTTTTTAAATAAAGTAATGGTGGGATAAAAGACCACAGGGTCAGCATAAGTGATGAAGATGCAGGTAAGAGTTTATCTGGTGAATTTCCCACTTGTAAAAATAATACAAATTTATTGTTGGATTACTGTTTTAAAATAAAAAATAAAAATAAACAAGATATAACAAAAAATAAAGATATAATCATGCTTAGTTGTTATATATAAGATATAATGATACATATCGTATTTGGTTGATAATGAATAAAACATGATTAAATATAAAAATTTATTTTATTCTTAATATATATTTTTATCAAATTTATATATTTTAAAAAATAATATATATACGCACACACACACTTTAGTTTACATTGAATGTTGATGAAATTAATAATAACATAATAACCCTAATTTTGAAATTTAAATTGTTCTAGCGGGTTGACTTGATATCCAAATAACTTAAAACTTGGACCGATTTGAATTTAAAAAAAAATAAAAAGAGATTTTACTTGACTTGACCATATCAAAAACCTAAATTAATCAAGACATAATCATCACGTGATAGGACCCAACTCAAAAACTCATTAAGTTTTTTTTTTTAAATAAAATCTTAATCAAGATAACATTGTTTTAATTACTGACTCTTATCCTAAATCAACTTTGGGTTAGATTTTAAAATTATAATAATAAATATTTTTATAATTACATGTTTAGTTGGATGAGTTTGAAATTAAAAAAATTTTACAGTAATATTTTAGAGATAAAAATTAAAAAAATATTATTTTTAAAAACATGTTTCATCTATATTTTTTAATTTTAAAAATATAGAAATTCATTCTAATATAATTGCCAGCCAAATCCATATATATATATATATATATATATATAGGCAAAAAAAATTATTAATTTTATTTTTGACCTTTCGACTTCCCGTGTAAATTTTAGCCCACTTCCGATACTTTTTTATACCAAATCTAACCTGGAAAAATTCAGATTTCCTTAAATTGTGTCCACAATGTTTCTTTTCTTATTCGCTTCTTTCATCTAGTTCTTATTCGCTTTTCAGTCTATATTGAGTATTTTTCATATTGTGTTTTTTTGGAAGTCCTGCATAACATTTTTACTTCTATTTTTAGAGTCTAATATCATCCTTATAGTGTACATATTTACTTTACATTCATACAATATATAATGTTTCCTTTACAAACATTGTCGATTTTTATTCAAAGTTTTATAGTTTATATCTATTTCAATTCAATTATTAATATTATTGTAAGGAATTTTTAAACTAATTTCCTATAAAAATTCAACCCCAAATAAAACATGTTAAAAAATCTGATATAAAATTTTAATCCAATCTAATAATCAAATTAATAATTATATATGATATTGTAAAACTAATTCATTCAAGGTTTTTTAGTCAAAGTCCAAAAGATTTTGTTTTCTTCGTGTATAATTCATATCAATCATCTTGCTTGATTCCAGGATCCTTTTCTTATTCTAAATATGTTTATCTTATTTTTATTTTATTTATAAACTTATTATTATTTATAAACTTACTTTTTTCATGAATGTTATAAATTTTAAACTCAACTTTATAATTCTTCATTTTATATAATATCCCTACTTTTCTTCGGTGTGAATTTCATCTGAGTTAAGTCGGATTGATGAAGTTTTAAAAATTACAATCCATCACTTTACTCGTAATATCTATTTCTTAAATTTTTTTATTTATAATATTCACGTTAGCGGACTCAATGGTCAATAGAGTGAAATGTTAGAAAATAAAAGGAAAAATAAAAGAGCGGGGGAGGGGGAAATTATCCGCATAATCGGCATTGAAGTAAATAGCTATACACAAAGAGACGAGTGGTGAATAATTAGGAGCCATGTCCCAGACTCCATCTATGTCAGAGCACCATTTTCTATATATTATCTGCATTGTATATAAATACTGTACGTGGGTGTTTGAAACGAAAGGAGAATGTGAGGAAAGTCAAGGAACAACCTCTTGTCCTATAACATTCCAAAATTCAAAAACCAAAAACACCACTCCTCAGCTCTCAATCTCTGTCTCACATTCAATGGGAACTGTAGAGTTGGAGGCACCGCCAAGCAAAGACCTTGACATAGACGAAGAAGAGCTCTCTCCAATAGAACAAGTTCGTTTAACAGTACCCAACACGGATGACCCGTCTCTCCCAGTATGGACTTTCAGGATGTGGTTCTTGGGCATTCTCTCTTGCTGTCTCCTTTCTTTCTTGAACCAATTCTTTGCTTATCGAACTGAGCCTCTCATCATCACCCAGATTACCGTCCAGGTGGCAACTCTCCCCATCGGACGGTTTTTAGCTACTGTGCTGCCTGAAACCAAGTTTAACATTCCTGGTCTTGGGAGTAGAGAGTTCTCTTTTAACCCTGGGCCGTTTAACATGAAAGAGCATGTTTTGATTTCGATATTTGCTAATGCTGGTAGTGCTTTTGGGTCTGGTTCAGCTTATGCTGTCGGTATTGTTAACATTATCAAGTCCAAGGCGTTTTACGGAAGGAACATCTCCTTTTTCTCTGCTTGGGTTCTCATCATCACCACACAGGTTCTCGTCACATATTTTCTCTTGTACATATATATATATACACTCCTGATTTAGTTTTTTCTTTTACAATGCCTTTAGACAAAATATGAAAATGCTATCGCAAAAGGTACTCTTACTTCTTTCTTCTTGTCATTCCCTCCTTTCTATAACTAATTTAATTCTAGCAAGCTTTTGAGTTTTGCTAATCTCGAGCAGCTGACAAACCGACAAGCGATGATGCAAGTGTGCAGGTTTTAGGGTATGGTTGGGCTGGGCTATTGAGGAAATACGTGGTGGAACCAGCTCATATGTGGTGGCCTAGTACTCTTGTTCAAATATCTCTTTTCAGGTTTGCCGGTTCCTGTTAGCTTGATTCTGCAACCTGTGGACTCTTCCTGCTTACAATCAACATTTTTTCCTAGATTTGGAATTGAATACAAAGAAATACCAGCTAGCAATAATTGTTACATCATCGTTGCAGCAAATAAAGTTACTGCAGTGCTCACATGTGATTTTTTGCCGTCTCAATATTTGTCTTAATATATGTCGTCAGCTCCCACCGAAAAGCCAGCAGTAATATTGTCTCTCTCTCTTTTATAGATCACCCTGTCAGTTCGAAATTCTAGTCATGGGAAATACGGTCAGTGATGGCAGATATATCAGTTAGACATGTTGACTGTGCTGCAAATTAAGAAATGAAGCAGCTGATTTTGTTGCCAAGGGAGCCTTATTACCTCGAACAAAAATACTACTTGATTGGTTGCATTTTTCTTTTCGACTGTAAAAAGAAGCATCTTATCTATCATTTAGTCTTTATTCTGAAAAATGAACTGACCAAGTCAACCAAAATAGTTTGAGTTAGCTTTCCATTACAATTTTGTTTACAAGGTTGTCAGTACAACCACAAACTTAAAAAAGGATACATTTATGGGAATTGCAGGACATTGCATGAAAAGGAAGACAAAAACGAGCACCGAATCTCACGAGTGAAATTCTTTGTCATTGCAATGACATGTAGCTTTCTCTGGTACTTGTTGCCAGGGTACCTCTTCCAAACATTACAAAGCATTGCTTGGATTTGCTATGCTTTTCCACATTCAGTCACTGCCCAACAGATAGGGTCTGGCATGAGAGGACTAGGAATTGGAGCCTTGACATTGGACTGGTCAACAGTAGCTTCGTACTTGTATAGCCCTCTGCTTACTCCCTTCTTCGCTATTGTAAATGTCTTCGTAGGGTATGCACTCATAATGTACGTCGTAATTCCAATATCATACTGGGGACTGAATGTATACAATGCCAAGACATTTCCCATTTTTTCATCGCACCTGTTCGATGCACGAGGTGCGACGTATAACATTACTGAGGTTGTTAACGACAAGTTCGAGTTAGATTTGGCACAGTATGATAAGCATGGGAGAGTTCATTTGAGTACATTCTTCGCTCTCACCTATGGATTTGGATTTGCCACTATTGCAGCCACTCTTTCTCACGTAGCTTTGTTCTATGGAAGGTAAGCTTTTGCTAATTCTTTGCTCATCCTCTACAGAACTGCTGAGGTTTATTATTTTATTTCCTTGTTGAATAATTGGGAAGAAAAAAAAAATAATGACTCTTTGAATCCAAGTTTCGTTTAAATTAAGACATGATTTGGATTATTAAGCGAGCATAGAGGCCTTTCCAAGTAGTTAAAACTTGTCAAGGCCTTTCTCTGATTCTTACATGTTAAGGATATGTGTTTAATTTAATTCAACGCTGGCACAGGGAAATTTATGATCGTTACCGGGCCTCTTCTAAGGGAAAGGAGGATATTCACACAAGACTAATGAAGAACTACAAGGACATACCTTCCCGGTGGTTTCATGGGCTTCTAGCCATGACATTACTAGTCGCCCTTTTCCTCTGCATCTTCTTGAAAAAGGAAGTTCAAATGCCATTTTGGGGACTTCTTTTCGCAGCTGCCCTTGCCTTCATATTCTCCCTCCCTATCAGCATTATTACTGCCACCACAAATCAGGTAATCTGAAAATTCAACTCCCATAGCTCCTAAACCTGTTAAGTCAAATCAATAATATATTATAGGCATTGAGGAAGATATTTCTTTGATTAAGCAGATCAATAGTAAAGGGGTCTGTTTACTGTCACTAGAACCAGAACTTATACCTCTTATTGACAATTGCTTTTTTCAGACACCAGGGCTGAATATCATTACTGAGTATGTAATGGGAATCATATATCCTGGGAGACCTATAGCCAATGTTTGCTTTAAAACCTATGGCTATATGAGCATGGCTCAGGCAATTTCCTTTCTTAGTGACTTCAAGCTAGGACATTATATGAAGATTCCTCCAAGGTCCATGTTCCTGGTTCAGGTAACCACTTTCACTGGGGACATAATTAACAATGATCCCATGCATTTCTATTCATTTTGTGTCTTGTGTGCGGGTGCTTGAATGTTTCTGCATGCTAATACCTGATAAGGGCTTAATTTTAATTGCATCAGTTCATTGGAACCATCATAGCTGGAACAATCAACCTTGGGGTTGCATGGTGGCTTCTGAATAGTGTTGAACATATATGCCAAGATAACCTCCTCCCAGCAAATAGTCCTTGGACTTGCCCTAGTGACCGTGTGTTCTTCGATGCATCTGTCATCTGGGGTTTGGTTGGACCTAGGAGAATCTTTGGCTCCCAAGGAGAATACGCGGCCCTCAACTGGTTCTTCTTGGGAGGACTGTTGGGGCCATTTATTGTATGGCTACTCCACAAGGCATTCCCTGGGCAATCTTGGATACCACTCATTAATCTACCAGTGCTCCTGGGAGCAACAGCTGCTATGCCACCAGCAACAGCAATAAACTACAACTCATGGATTTTAGTTGGAACAATCTTCAATTTTTTCATTTTCAGGTACAGAAAGGACTGGTGGCAGAGATATAATTATGTTCTATCAGCAGCTCTTGATGCAGGTGTTGCCTTCATGGCAGTTCTTATTTATGTGACGGTAGGGCTCGAAAATAAGAACTTGTACTGGTGGGGTTCTGATCCTGATGTTTTTCCGGAGCACTGCTCACTAGCAACTTGCCCCACCGCAAAGGGTATCTCGGTTGACGGGTGTCCAACATTCTAGCTCTCATAGTAGTCTCAAGTTCTTTAATTCTCAACGAACGCCTAAGTTTCCCAAGTTTTCAGCATTAATGTGTCTTTACATTTCTTCTATATACAGCGGTGCTCTTTTTCATGTCTACTTATTATTGAGGCAAATTAAGAAAAAATAAATTACAGCACAAATTTAGGTACTTCCCCTCCTCAAAGTCACGGCATGTCGCTCACTGTCGCTGATATTCTTTTTTTTTTCTTTTTCCCAATTGACCTGAATACTTGATGAGTCGTCCAATGCATTAAAGACATGTCAAGCCTTTCTTAAGGGTTGTCAAGTAACAACGAGTAAGATGTGGCTCTAGCTGTTCTCAAAAGGAAGTGGAGATTAAGGCATTCCTTGGAAACACGCAGTTAATTATGTTAGATGAAATTTTAATTTTTTTAATTTAATTTTTTTTTAATTTTCATATTGTTTTGTTTTGTGTTGATATTAAAAATAATTTTAAAAAAATAAAAAATATATTATTTTAATATATTTTTAAATAAAAAATACTTTAAAAAACAATCAACACCACATTTTCAAACATCCTTTACATTAGCAAATAAAAATGACGGAAAACTTAACAATATTAGTATACATTACGTTCTATTTTTATTTTTTACCATCTTTCAGGTAGCGTGAAGGCATGCTTGTGATGTTTTGTACAGAGAATACATTTTTATTTTCTAATATTTTTAATAATGCCTTCTAGATATGGAATTATATATAGAAAAATGGCTAGTTTTCTCCATATGAAAGTTTTTTAACATGAAAATATAGTATATAGACTATAGAAAATTTTATGGTATTATTGTTAAATTTGGTATATCAATTCAAACTTATAAATTTTTAATTTGACTCTTTGCTTACATAAGTTTTAAATTAAATCATGTGAAAATTTTCCTGACATGATCTTATCGATTAAGTAAATCCAAAGAAAAAAATAAACATGCTAGCTAAACCTACAACTCAAGTTATAAACTCCAATGAATTACATTAATTTTTTATTTTATTATATATAAAAAAATATTCAGCTCCTAGATCTCCTTGCTCAACATATATGAGCATTCACTAAAACTATTCGAGCCACTTAGAAGTAGCTCATAGATATTCTATTACATATAACACAACTAATAACACAACTTATTCAACTAGTGCAATCTTTTCTTAGACAACTCTGCTTCTTAGAAGAAACTCAATAAAATGTTGTCCAAGGGAGTAAAAGAAATATTGTCACACCAATAATGTGCTCAGAAGTAGATCTCATCACCATAAAAATAAAAATCCCACCTTTAGATATGATGTCCATAAATCAAGGGCAAAGTTATACCTAATGATCATAGTCATTGTCATCTTTCCTTTTTAAACCCCTATTTAAATGATCTAGAATATAAAAAACCATAATGAGTAAAGACAAAAGCCTTACACACTAAGTAGTTGATTTTTCATTTTTAAATAACCTAAAATGAATAACCCCACATCTTCATCTTTTTCTTTATTTCTTTATCCAAACCAATCCTCATTTCCACCATTTTAAGTTTGTTTGAACCAACTATTATACTTTATTTTTCTTGATCAAACTGGCTTCCAATTCCACTACTTCAAGTTCAAATGAACTAGCCTTCATACTAACATTCCAACCATTGATCTTAACTCTCATCCCCACCCAAAACAACTAACTCATCTCCACTTAGAATTAATTTGTAAGATTGTTTGTCATGTTTTGAAAAAAATTTATTAGTACTTAAAAGTGCATTTTTATCAAGGTTTTTATATCATCATTTCGCACTTGAAGTATCAATAACTTCTTAACTGAAACATGTTTTATAATAACAAATCTTATACTATAAAATACCTTTAATTTATGGTAATTGCTCATCTTAAATGCAGGTCTATCACATAAATCAAAAGATTGATTGATAAGTCAAACTAGTAAAATTGAGAAGACAAAGAGAAGGTGAAGTTTAGAAAAGAGATGTTGGTTTAGTCCAAACTAAAACACTGTTCAGTTCTTAGGTCATATCTAGAACTGTAGAACATGGATTTGGGTTTGCTTTATATGGATAAAAAGCTAAGACATAGGTCTAAAACATTCATAAGAAGGCAAGACTCAATTTTGCTATTTGGAAGTCCAAATTTTAGCAACAACGAAGAAGTCCAAATTTATCCTACAGCCTAAACACTATTCAATGTTCAACCCATATCTTAAGTTCTAGAAGTCCAAATGACCTTTTTTTTTTCCTGAAAATCTGAGACAATTTCCTAGAATTTCATAATTTAAGTCTGTTCAAATTCTGACATTATCAATAACATTTTGTTCAAACAAGAAAATAAGGATTGTCACCAAGTCAAGATTTGAGCACCCACTCAACAATTAGTTATCAAATCAATAGTTTCAAATTTTGGCCTATAAAAGGAGGTATTTGCCATATATTTAGGCATCTTGATTTTCAGATCAAGATCATATTTGTGCTCTTTTTTTATTATAATGCTTAAGTTTTGCTTATATTAATCTTTGTTTATCCTTCGCATTTCCTTTCATTCACTTAGTTAACTTATATTTTAGTTATGTTATTATTTTATTTATTTATGTTTCTCTTTTTTATTATGTTTAGCTAAATTTATTATGTCAAGGTGACAAGGTTACACTAATGGTGTAAGAATAAGTATAGTATAAATTTAACATGGACTTTAATATTTGATACTAATGTGTTTTGTATTTGTTATCTTATTCACTCTTAATACTTTGCTTGTTAAATGGTTAATTTAGATTTATGTTGCATAACCTTGGTACAATAAATGCTTGGCACTTTCATAGCACAAATCGTATGATATAACCACCACTTATGCTATGAAAGAACTTAATTTGTTGTTAACATAAGTTATAATTATGAATACCTGACAACATTTACAAGTATTAGCATTATTCAAATAAGATAACTAATGTAATCATGTTAATAATTTGTAATCCGATTGGAACCTCCTTTGTGTGTGGTTTCTAGTTGAGTAATAAGAGTTTATACCAGTTTGAAATACCATTAGTGGATCATTTAACCTCGACATTTGGTTTTATTATTTAATCTTCATATTAATCTTACATCTCAAAGTCCTCTTTAACATCTTATTATTGTTGTTGTTTATAATTTATATAGTTAACCTCCATATGGTTCGACCTCGGTCTTGCCGAACACTCTTGTAATTAGGAGAAGACATCAATCTTTCGGTCATGTCAAGTTTTTGGTACCGTTGTCGGGGAGGTAAATTCTTGTAGAAATTATAGTATTTATTTTATTTTCTCTTTTCTCTTTTCTTTTTTCTTGTATCTAACTTTGTTTTTATTTTTTTTTGTTTCCTTTTATTTTATTTTCTTCATCCTTTTATTATCTTCCTATATGTGCATGAGAATTTGCTCACATACATTAAGTGGTAGACTTTGTAAGGTATCCTCATCATTTTCAAAAAATAAGGCCGAAGAAGATAATCAGCCGCTTCATAATGAAAATAAGGAGAATAGCCGTGTTAGAACACTTAGAGACCACATGAATCCCACAAGAACAAATGCACCCTCGTGTATAGTTTTCGCTCTTGATACATCTCATTTTAATTTTAAGCCAGACATTATTCAACTTTTACCTTTTTTTGATGGCTTAGACTTAGAAAATCTATACTTGCATTTAAGGGAATTTGAGGAGGTTTGCAACACATATAATAATTTAAATTGTAGCATGAACACCATCAGATTAAAG